CCCTTCAACGAATTGCCTGATTTTATTTTTAGCTCCAGTAAGAGTTTAACATCCATAGTGTGCTGTGAATGTTCCAGAGTGTAACTATGCATTTCATGAAGAAATTGCTCTATTGTAAAAGCGGTGGGAAGTAGCAAGCCATTTTTACTGATGATTTTCTCACTTTACATCTGTGAATGCTGCATTAACAACTGCAAGATTCATTAGAAAATTTAAGTACCAACAACTGCCAAAATAAGTTTTGACAGGTTGTGTGTACAAATGGAGTCTTCAGCATCTTAGGATGTTTGTGAAAACTAAAAAAGGGACCCCTCTTTCACAGCAGGACAGCTTGTGAAAAATCAGACCAGAGGGCTTAACTGTATTATAAACACATCACAACTGTGGGTGGGGGAAGCTTATTCTTTGAATTGCCTGCATAGAGAACCTTGTTTTAAAGTTTCATACATGGCATGACATTTCACTGGAGTTCACATGAACAAACTACCTTCTCAAAAGGCTTTTTTTTTTTTTCCCTGAAATTAAATGTTTAGGTGTCGTATACAAATCATGAAGTACATGGTATAATTGGGTAGGTTTTCATCATGCAGTTCCATTTTTTTATACATATAGTAGTGGAGTCAGCAAAGGTGTTTTCCACCCAAAACATTTTTAGACACTTGTTTCTCATAAAACAAATCTGCATTGTTGTACCGGGCATCAGTATCTTTCTTCATTTTCATTCCTGTTTTGTTTACTTGGCCATTTAATACACTTCTGGCTGACATTAAAGGATGTGGTAGAACTCTTAATAGTTTCCTTTGACTGCAGACACAAGGAAGAAGAAAGAAAATACATTTGTGGAAAACACCACGAAGAGAAATCAGGCATACGTGTAGAACATAAAATCTCTTAAAATACATCAATGCAGATCCTCAAAGCAGTTTTCCTCGTAGAAACCTTTAAATAGACATCACGTTGAGCTGGTGGTCATGTAAAAATCCATCTTGAGCAGCTTGAACATTGGAAGCTGGCACAAGAAGGCTAAGTCCTGAAAATAGCTGCCAGCCTTCCACTGCTCCCAGGAAGATCTTTACCCACTTCTGGCTCTGGTTGGGCAGAGAGGGTGCTCTGAACCTGTTTCCTGGTCTGCTTCTGAGGACAGAGTGCTGGCCTGGATGGCATTTTAACTTCTGCTCTCAAAGATAAAAACTCCCACCAGTCCCAGCCTCTGGAAGGGACCTTGCAGTTTCTCCTTACTGCTGTCCAGAGGGAGAGCAGTAGTTGGGACCTGAAAAAAGGCTTCTCCCAGGGCCCTGAGTAGCTAAAACGCTGAGGACAGAAGACGACCTCTTTGTGAGCTGCATAAACATCTGACTCGGGTTACACTCCAGAAACCACAACAAGATATCAAGTTTATGGGAACCCTTTAATACAGTTCTTTTTCTAATACAGTAGTTGTAAATTTGCACATGGGATAAAATAAGCTGTAAAAACGACTTAGATAATTTTGGTTTGCAATTTAACCAATATGCTTTAAACTTATTAACATCATTTTGTTTTCTGGCTAGTAATCCTTTTTTTCAACACTGGCATATGCAGAACTGGTTGTAATCTATACAGTATTTATAAAGTAAAAAAGCTGTTTTCTTAAAAAAGCATCTGCTGTTTTGACAATATGTCTGAAAAAAAACCCCAACCTTTAAAAAATGGTAACTAAAGAGTTGGACAAGCCATAATATATCTAGCTTTTGTCCATGGCACTCAAGCATTGGCTGAGGGGAGACCTCATCGCTCTCTACAACTACCTGAAAGGAGGCTGTAGCGAGGTGGGTGTTGGTCTCTTCTCCCAAGTAACAAGCGATAGGACGAGAGGAAATGGCCTCAAGTTGTGCCAGGGGAGGTTTAGATTGGACGTGAGGAAAAATGTCTTTACTGAAAGAGTGGTTAAACATTGGAAGAGGCTGCCCAGGGAAGTGGTGGAGTCACCATCCCTGGAGGTATTTAAAAGACGTGTAGATGAGGCGCTTAGGGACATGGTTTAGTGGGCATGGTGGTGTTGGGTTGACGGTTGGACTCGATGATCTTGGAGGTCTCTTCCAACCTTAATGATTCTATGATTCTATGATAAAGCAAAAGCTCAGAGATACATAATCTCCAAGGTAATTCAATCTGAGAGGAGGGTAATTCTACTTGTGTATAAGGCCAGGGGCCCAGTGCTTAACCATCACCAATCCTTTCTTGGCATTCATTTTTCAAATCAAAATAGTCGAGAAGGCTATTGACTTACATATTTTTCTAGCATCATAAAGTTATATGGCCTAAGGTTAAAATAACAGATTGGGGTTGGAACAGCACAAAGACATAAGTCTGAGTTTGGAAGAGGGAAGAATGCATCAGGGTAGGAATGTGCATGGAGCAGACTGGAAGGAGGATTTAATTTCATCAGTGGAAATCTGGTGGTTCCACATTATTTGTGTTTTTCAGTGTTCTGAAACCAGCTGAACCTGCAAGAGACCTAAAAAGACCAGTTAAGACAGTGGATGAACTAATTAAATCATTTATCTTTTTGTTATTGCTGATAATCCCACTATGTCAGAAAAAGTATCCTCCTCATTCGGTACTAAGGAGGTTGCCCAAGTGAAATACTGTGTAAAATACAGATTTGCAAGCGAGCCATCCATTCTCTGGGGAGAAGACACTGTAGGTGCATATTATGGCATTTTTTCTAGTTAGCTTTGAAACGGATTTTGAGATCAAGAGCTTTTTAAAGGAGAAATGGAATTAATTTGTCATATGCCTCCAACTGTATATCATAAAAGTTGCATTGATTAAGAATATTTCTTGTTGCTAGCTCATCAACCACTGGATTTGCTAATACTAACACAAGAAATACAGAATTACTGGACAGGGAATGGCGATGGAAGTTTCACCTTTCCAGTGCTGTACATTCAAAAAAGTATCAGCAAGACAGTTTTTCTCGGTATAACAGAGATACCAGTGCAGCACGAAAGAGGTAGTGACATGAATAGTGACACTGAATTGCTTTAACGTTTACCAGGAGCAAGACCAAAGACGCTCCCGGAAAACGCTTTTCAGGAAAACCTCAGGCAAAACTGAACTGCCGGGGCTCAGGTGTCCCTCCTGGTCCCGGCCAGGGCTACAGACTGTAGCGGAGTTTCTCGTACAGACCGTAGGCGAGAGAAACATTTTAACGTTTGCCAGAATTTGGCACTGCCAGCAAAAAGAAGAGCCCCCTGCCCTCCCCTTTCCCAGAGGCGCA